AAAACTTGACCCTAGACAGGTCTACAATACACCAAATTCTGAGAAAAATATCGACATCATACAGACCTATCAAAAATAAATTTTTTTGTGGTCTTACTGAAAAACTTGAAAAATAACACTAAAACCTATCCATAGACTTAACTATAACCAAAAGAGTGAAATAGGAAACGAGTGGAGTATCTCCTAATGGCGATGGGTATCATTGTCTCCAAGAAAGTTTTCTGCAAAATCATTATCTAAGGGAATTTCATGATTTTCTTCTGGTTCTGCATCTTGTTCTTAATTAGGGAAATAAGGGTCTCCGGGTATGTGAAATCCAGCCATTGTTATCTAAGCGAGAATATGGATAAGAGATATAGAATATAGTTAGTAACGATAAGTTTCTACAAGAAAGACCTACAATTAACAAATAATGTACTAAGTACAACTTGTTCTAGATATTACTATAATTATAAAGTGTATATTAATTATATATAACTTGGGTATAACTGACTTTCGATTATATGACCCGGCTCTAAGTCCACAACCAAACAAGGAACAGGAAATGAAGCTAAATCACATATTCTAAGTCTATATAACTTTAATTATATATAATTGTAATATACCCTTAATATTTATAGTTCTACCCTTAATTGTTCTATTGTTTTCACATGTTTGTTATTAGTATATAGTGCCTAAAATACCCCTATAGTATTTTAATCTTTATGTTCTGTTCTAATGTTCTTCTGGGTATGTATGGTAAGTTTTAGACATGCCACAACACCACTATCACTCCCAAACACATGTTGGTCATATCTCAAATCAATATAGTTGATCAGGCTATATTAATTCCAGATATGATTACATAACTGTCCAGGTTTGACTGTAGTGTTCAACATCCAAATACTTTTAAGTTCTTATGACTATGATATTTTACTTGTAGGTATGAGTGTTAGTATACTTCTTGTAAAAATACTTAAATTTTTAAAAGTATACTTGTAGTCAGAGCTCTTAGCCCCAAATATATTTATAGTTTGTATATCTTTTATGGATTGATATACTGAGTTCACTACAAACATTGCTCTGATACCAATCTGTCACACCCCCAAACTAGACGGCGGAAATATCCGGGGGTGGAGGACTTCATTTGTAATATCACAACACATGCAATATAGTAATCAAAGTACAAACAACCATTGTATTAAAAAGTATAAATATTCACATGTCTTTCACATTGTATAATGAAACTATAAAGTTGTACAAAGGAAGAAGACAAGACATAAATAACTCCATATTCTCAAAAGCTCGGGGTATACCTGTCTACTGGTTCCCTGAGAATACAAGTAATTTGAAAAGAGAGTATCAACATAAAGTTGAGTGAGTGCATAAGTTTTTATGTATGTAAGAATATCTTCTGTTTCTTGAATATGTAAACTGTTTCCAGAAAATCCTATATTTTCTGTTGTATATAAAAAGTAGTTGTATTTGTATAAAATTGTTCTATTTGTAAACCAATTATTTGTATTTGTAATCTTTATGTAAACTTTTATCTTGTTAACTGTATCTTGTAAACTGTATCTTGTAAACTGTATCTTGTAAACTGTATCTTGTAAACTGTATCTTGTAAACTGGTACTTTGAAAATGTACTTAAGTTTAGTTAAATATACACTAACGTATTGTTAATATCTTTTAAGTGAGTTATTATAACCATACTAACTAGATGGCCTGATCCAACGCAATGAATGCGCTGAAAGCTGATGATAACAATTGTCACTCACAGGCATGTATGCCTGACTGTAGCTAGCAGTCCGAGTGCGGGATTGTCAATCCCAATATAGATCTATACACCCATTGTTTCGATCCCCTGCTGGAGACTCTGGTTATAATATCAGGACATTACTATATTGTTTAAAATGAATTAAACAAACTGTACTACTTGTCTCATAAAAGCATATAAACGTTACATGTATATTAGTTATGAAAACCCAATCATTCTGAAGTAAATAATTGATAGTATGCTCTTGAATTAGTATTCTTAACATGTATCTGAAAGAATGTATATCCTTGAATAGTTTTGAATCAATCTTTGTTCTTGTAAAACAATGTACTCTAGTATGCTTGAATCATGAATTATTGTTCTGTGAATCATAACTTATACCTATTATAATTTATATGTACTTTCTGTATTGATACTTAGTATTAATGAATACAACCCCTTGCTCAACTTGTTACAAAAGGGTAATTGAAACTAAATGAATAAACTTTTATACTTGTATACATATATAATATATATAAGTAAAATTTAAATGACACTCAGACAAATAACTAATACTTGTAATCCCACATCCAAACAAGGAAAAGGAACCAAAGTGGGTTATCAGTCCTAAATCTTTTTAATCTTATTTATATAAATATATGTATACTAGTATGATTTTTGGGGAAAATATAAGTTTATAAAATATTTAAAAGAAGTTTCATATTTTGAAATCCATTTTGGTGACTTGACGTCTTTTTGAAACAATCACTTAAAACCACTTCATTTGATGATACTGAAATTCATTTTGATAAGATGTTTGAAACCATTTGTTTTGATAACTGTAATCCATTTGAAATCATTTGTTATAACACAAAATCTTTGTGTTAGACTTGTATTCCCCCCCTTAAAACAGTAAAAACTATGAAAATACGGGGGTATGAACTCACCTGTAGTGAGTGATACGGAAGAATGTTTGGAAATGGGATGTAGAGTGTCAGGTGAAACCTTGAGCACACAAAGATCCTAATAAACATATAATGACATGTATGTGTATTTGATTAGTGTATAAACAACTAATTATAAGGGATAACACCCTAATAAACTAGGAAACTCTTAGATTGAAGGAATACAATCACATATGATTGCGTAACTAGGGTATATGGCCACCCTATAGAGTTTACGGTCCAAATGACATGACCAAGTGAGTTTACGGTCCAAGTGGTTCGCGGTCCAAGTGTTCACGGTCCATGTGTTCACGGTCCTAGGTGTTTACGGTCCAATGACCTTACGGTCATGGAGTTCACGGTCTAAGGAGATTCAACCGCAAACTCACCAAATCTTTCACAAATGATGGTTTTCAAGGGCTTCAATTAAAGACATCGGATTCTAGGGACCATGCTTAGCCTTAGGAAGGGTAAAGACTATAAGAACACCCTTTATAAGGGTTTACGGTCTATGAAGATGCACTAGACCGTAAACACCTTTTGTTCTTGAGTTTCTTGATGTTTTCTAGGTGTTTAACAACTGATTCAAGTATATAACAAGCCATGGGTAGTATACTTACCATTTGAAGGCAAATGAGGGTGTTTAAGGTCCAAAAACACTAGTGTGTGTTCTTGGTGTTCTTGGTGTTCCTTGAAGATCTAACCAAAATAGATGATTTCATGGATTAAATCAAAGGGTTGTACTAGATAAATCTTAGTATCAACAAATCAAATTTAAAGAATTCTTACGTTTTTGGAAGATCAAGATGAAGATCCTATGATACATGACAAAGAAATTGGGTTTCTAGACTTGAAATGGAAGAGAAATAATGAAAAATGAAGAAAATCTATATATGTATCCGAGGGTTTACGGCCGAGGAGTTTGCGGTCCAAAGTCGGCAAGGCGTTTACGGCCGAAGCCTCGTTTACGGTCTGCGAGGAGTTTACGGTCCGAGGAGTTTACGGCCGTAAACTCTTTGCGGTCCGAAACGAAGGGATAATTGCGAAGTTTCTCGTATTTTCAAGCCTTTTCCTTTCAAATTCTATTGTAGATATTTTAAGGATTTTAACAAATAAAGGTTATTATTATTATAACCTAAATAGAAAACTCAAACAATAAAAAGGGTTTTAGTTGACCTTTGTTTGACTTTGGTTGACTAGAGTTGACTTTACAAACAGAAAATAACGGGATGTTACAGCTGCCAACTGCATTATTAAAAAATTCATATAAATACGTGAGAAATACACCAAAATAAATAGAAGTACGTAAAAAAACATAAAAGTTCATATAAATATGTAAAGATATATAAATACACGAAAAATATACCAAAATACATTAAAGTATATAAAAATTCTTAAAAAATTCATATAAATACATAAAAAATACATTTATACATTTAAAATATATAAAAATATTAAAAATATTAAAAACAACGTAAAAAAAAACTACATAAAAAAACTTTAAAAAGTACATAACTACATAAATATATATTTAAATACATAAATAGTACATATAAATTCATAAAAATACGTAGTACACAAATTTTGAGAACATTTATAAAAAATCTCATTATTTAGGAAGAGTTAACAATTTGGTCTCATGACTTGTTGAATATGTTAAAAATGGTTAAAATAATGAAATTAGTTGTTTTTTTGGGTATTTCAATTAAAAAGATTGGGTTTTAATTGTTAATTTTTCAAAAAAAAAATAAGATTTTTCTACATATTTATGTACATATAATCTCAAAATGGATCAAAATTAAGTTTACACCAAAGATAGTCAATCGGCCTTTCTTCAAGTTTCCCCATAATAGGCAATATGTTTATTAGCTTATTGTCTGTTGAATAGTGACGTAAACTTGTAGGTAAAGAAATAACATACATTCAGTGAGTAATTGATATTGATAATTAAGGATTCAAATGCACATAAATATTTTAGAAATACATTGAACACGAAGACGGAAAGAGAGATTCTTGTGGGAAATAAAAAATCTTTATTAATCACATAATCAACATAGATAAGTAAGTTACATCAGGAGTAAGTACATAGTTATAGGTTGAAACCATCGCTCCCCTTATACAAACGACACACACTTTCAATGTAACGGGAATGACATCTTTCTACTACGAATGTTAAGAAACTTATGTAACTGCCATAATAACTTCCAACTTGTAACTTCCGTTAGCAAGAACCGTTACTCCATTGATGCAAGCTTTACATCTTCAGCAATAAATAGAGGGAACTTGTGTGCATGAAATAAAGAGAAAACTCTTCAGAAACATGAGGTCTTCTACAATTCATTATTTTTTTGCCTTTGTCATTTTAACATACCCAATTGCTTCAATAGCATTTTCATGTCCGTTTACTACAAAATGGAATGTTAGCGTTATTAGTGCTCTCCGTGAAGATCTTGTTGTTCACATAAAATCAGGAGATGATGATCTTGGGAACCATACGATTCCATATGTAGGAAATTACTCCTGGTCTTTTTGTGAAAAGGTTGGTGGTCACACTCTTTTTTACGGTTACTTCTGGTGGGGTTCAAAATTTCAGAGCTTAGATTTATTTAACAATGCCATTTCTGACAAATTAATTTTAAATGTGGATCCTGAACATTGTTACTGGTTTGTAAAACCTGAAGGGTTTTTTGTAAATAATATTCCAAGTGGAGGTGGGCAGTTCATTAAAGGTTGGGACTAAAACAAATATATGTCATTTTTTCTTATTGTAGCTTGATACAATATATGATAAAAAATTTATTGATGACATTAGTATGCTATGCATGTGTTTATTTCTTCTGTCAGCACATCCGCAAATGTTTACAAGGATGCTTTGTTAGTTACAATTAAACAAGTTCACAAATACTTTATAACAAATGTTTGAATAGTAAAACAAATTAGAGATGAAAGTGGACCTATTGAACCGGAACCGGACCAGAACCAGAATTGAAGGATCTGAAGACCCGAAAACCAGACCGATAATGGGGAACAGGTTCTGGTTTGGTTCCGGGTATCGGATCGGATAAAATGGGTAAGGAACCGATTGAAACCGGAAATAGGTAATTGAAACCGGTTACGGGTTCAGGCTCGGATGGACCCAGAAACCGGAAAAAATTAAATTGATTTGCAAGTCACTTTTAACCAAACTAAGTCGTTAAATAGTTCAATTCCTTTATATATATATATATATATATATATATATATATATATATATATATATAAGTCCTTTTAATATGGTTTCTCCTAAAACAAATTGACAGTGTTCAAAGACTTCCACGTATCCCACTCTTGAAACGTCGCATTATACCAAAATACTGATTTAATCTTTCTCCACCGTCGCACCATTCTAACGCTAAAGGAAAATCTAAAAACCTTTCTACTCTCCATCTTCCGTCAAAAGCATCCTTCTTTCCAACAAGAATCCGACTAACTTCTCCACATAAAGAAGAAACCCTAAGTAATTAGTAATCAACAAAAGTAGACCACTTTCTTCAATGCAAGGTTTTCAAATCGAAATTAAAGAAGAACGATCTACTGCCACCACTTCCTTCCGTACAGGTACATTAATCCAACAAGTCATGACCTAAATGTTTCCTTCGATTTTCATCAGTTTGCAATTAATCCAACCGAAGGATTTCCATGGGAAGTTCAGATTTGATTTAACAATTTCATGACCTAAATGTTTCATCTCAACTTGATATCATATTCTACAAGTCAGAATGAACATTGTCTCACATATTGTAAAGCCAATAACCGTTAATCAATTAAAAAATTCAACAATTCGCTAATTCCCGCTCTACAAAGTATTAGCCCAATCTTCATAAAGGTTCGTTTTGTTTGTTTCTGGTGTGATTGCAAATAACAGATCGTGTTCAACTTAAAAAAAAAAAATTCCAAATGCCCTTGACCATGCATATCGCGTCTTCTATTGCTAAGTTTGTGCTTAATGAAAGACAATCTGGTCAATCGTCTACAGATGTACTTGATTGTGTAAATTGTTGCTTATGTTGCTATGTTTCTGATTTGTGAACTTACAATCAAGTCAACTGGTTGGTGCCCTGTGATTGAATCTGCACATATAGCACCAACTCATATATTCAGGTTATCTTCATCTGTTAAGAAAAACAAATGACACTTTAGATGCTTAGAACCCAAAACGTAACAGTCTACGATCATGCCACAATAAAACATAAACTTAATATATATATATATATATATATATATATATATATATATATATATATATATATATATATATATATACATACGATTTTGGGAGTGTATCGTCGGAGAAAACAAAGAGGTTTCTGGTTTTTGGTTTTTTTAGATCCGTTATAGAAACATGGTGATGAAATCCAATTATTTCTGTTTTACGGAAACAGTTTTCGTTTGCGGTTTAGATCTGAGATCCATTCAGTAGCCCAAAGCGAAAAATTTCGGTTTCCGGATGATTTTCGCTATGTATGATTTGGAGGAGGAGATCTGTTAAACAGATGCAAATCCGTTGAACTCCAACAGGTCAAGAACATTTTTTTTTCTATATCTTTGTTGTTTGTTGTACAATATCCAGAAAATTGTTTTACAACTGGTTAAGGTTAAGGGCGAAGAAGACGCTGGATGATTTAAAAAAAAATCTCGTTTTACAGCTCGATATCGTTGTTGGTTACAGAAAATAATCGCCTTTTATTATTATTATTATGATTATTATTATTATTATTATTATTATCGATTTTCGTCTTCAAATCGTGTTTTTTAATTTTTAAAAGTTTGTTAGAGAGTTTTAACTTTCGTTTGGTTTGTTTGGTCAAAGATCGTGAGTTATCGATTTCGAATTGTGTGTTCCAGATCGAGACAATTCCCCATCATTGTTGCAAGTTATTTTTGAATTTTTGGAGTCTTGAGATTTTTTATCTTTCTCTCTTGATCTCCCTTTGATGATCCTCTAATTAGTCACTGGTTTACAGGCTAAGGGACGTTAATAAATATTTTTTGCTTTCGTTTAAAATAAATATTGATAATAATATATAAATGAATAAGTAAAATAATAAAATAAAATTCGCAAATAGCCTTAATACATCTATGGCAAAATGATTTAAGATATTATTGCTGCTGTGTTCCATATTTAGTTCCATTAGGTTAGGCGTAAGAAGTATTCTTCTTTGCTATCAAATTAATTGATTTAACTTTTAATTATGGAGTGCAGATATGGATTTTTAAATCATGATCGGAATCACTAGCTAGAAAACTAAGATTGTATTGTATGCTGGGTCTTGAAGCAGAGAATGGAGTTTGATCAAGATAATGTCAGACCAGTGGTAGAAGAAGAAGTAGAAGATAGATTGAGCAGGTTGCCAGATGAGGTTATTCGTAATATCCTGTCTTGTATTGACATGAAATTTGGTGTTCAGACATGTTTGTTGTCAACAAGATGGAAGCTTGTCTGGACATCAATCCCTTGTCTTAAATTCTCAAGTCGGAAATTTGGTTGTTTACAAAAGTTTTCCGAATTCGTGACCAATGTTTTGTCTAAACGCAACAATCAAATACAAGTGTCATCCATCAACCTGCTATTTTCCCATAGACAAGATTATTGTGAAGTTATAGTGAGAAAGATTGCAAATTATGCCTTCTCTCACAATATCCAACAACTAAATGTCGCTGATGATGATACTAATAGGCTCCATGAATTCCCTGCTTGCCTTTTTAGCTCTCACTCTCTAAAACATTTTACACTTTGTAACTGTTCTATAATTTCACCACCCGCAACGCCTTGGGATTTTCCAGCTTTAACAACTTTGCATCTCAGTTACATCGTATTAATGTCTAATAAAACCACTAAAGACTCTGTACATGATAACATTTTCACCAAGTGTGTCAACTTAAAAAACCTCACTGTGGAATATTTCCGTCTCATGGGTATGAAGGTATTTGACATAGTAGCCCCTCGACTTTCTAATCTAATTCTTATCGAGGGAAGAAATGTAAAAGTCGTCAATGTGATTGCACCACAACTTGAGAATCTCACAATAATTGACACCTCATTGGAGTACTTGAATGCTCCGGCAGGAGTTTCATCTTTGTGCTACAAGTGTTATTCTGGTCCTCCCCTGCAATTGTCTAAAGATGGATTTCACTCCCTAAACCAAGTCAATATCTGCTGTTTGGGTTGCTATCCAGTATTTGAAGATGCTCGCAAAATTATTAACATTCTTCAAGAGCTCCATAGTGTCAAATATCTAACACTTAATGTGCAAATTATTGAGGTATATATGCATGTTGATTTCATTTCAATATGTGCATATATTTTTATGTATAATATGTATAATATATATATTTCATATGCGCGCTTGCAGTGTATTTCCTCATTTCCGGATTATTTATCGCACCTTCCATCACCTTTTGGCAACTTAATTTGCTTGAGTATGGACTCTCACATGAATGAGGATGCATACAAAGTAAGAATGTGTAGTGCAGCTAGAAACTTCTTGTTTGACAACTCCCCAAACGCGACGTTCACCATGGACTTACCCGAGGTACCACTTTTATAGTTGTATATTATGACATCGAGTTTCCGTTTAATTAACTTTTTTAGTTAGGGTTAGTTGATATTTTTAATTTTAAACCTAATAGGAAACGCCTGGGCTCGCTGTTACGCCGATTGACTGGTGGAGGTATGTACGTAAGTACACCTTCACGGTGTCAACAGCTGCCATTGTAGACAATAGTCATGTATTTAAGAAGACCAAGAAGGATAAGAAGAAAAAGGAGGAGGAGAAGAAGTTGTCACGTCTGGATGCCGTCATGGTGATTCAGAGGGCTTTCCGAGCATATGTGATCAGGAGGTCCCAGGCTCTTTGCCTGCTACGTGAGCAGGCTGTTGCAAAGGGAGAAGTGCTTAAGGTCCTCTGGGCGTGTTGATCTAAAAGGAAAAAGCATGTATAGCTTCTTGGTGTCATGATTATGCTGAATTATAATCTTTTATTTATTTATTTAGGTTTAAGAAAATAACTGTTTGACCGAAGTTTGATATTGGTGTCGTTGTTTGTGCCTTCTCTGGTTCCATGCTATGTTAAGCTTGTAGTTGTATTCATAAGCTATGGCTACATCGAGTCTAATACTCGTTTGCATATCCATTTTCGTTTATCTCATCATGGAAAGCTCAAATTAAGCTCGTGCATCCCTAAATGAAATAATTTCTTATTCTATGGTCAAAATGTTAGATTTTTGGTCTTCACCACTATTAGGGTTTGTGAATATTCACCGTACCTGGTGATATTGTATTGATCTTTATAAATAATACAAAGATTACAAGATAAGGAAATAACAAACTTTCCTACTAATATAAGCTATACAATATAAATGCTATACTTATCATGATTCTGTTGAATCATGTCTATTACCCCCCCCCCCCCCGCAAGCAAAGTGGCATTGGTCCAACACGAAGCTTGGCTCTAAATTCTTCAAACATCGGACGAGGAAGACTCTTAGTGAAGATGTCAGCAAGTTGGAGATGTGAAGGAACAAACTTAGTATGAAGTTTCCCAGAAAGTACCAATTCCCTTACAAAATGGTAGTCAATATCAATGTGCTTGCCTCGTTTATGTGAAACTGGATTTTGACCGAGGAATAAGGCACTTTTGTTATCACACAAAAGAGTAGGACGTGATGTAGATAAAACATGCAGTTCACGTAATAAATGAGTGATCCAGATTATTTCATCCGCAGTATTACCTAAAGCACGATATTCTGATTCACAACTAGACCGTGAAACAGTAGGCTGCTTTTTGGCACTCCAAGAAACGAGATTACCTCCGAGAAACACAGAGTAACCATAGGTGGAACGACGAGTCTCAATGCGGCGTGCCCGGTCAACATCAGAGTAACCAAGAATAAAGGGCGTGTGAGCATGAGAAAAGGAGAGACCATAAGACAATGTCCCTTTGACATACCGTAGGATGCGCTTAACAACCTGAAAATGATCTTGAGTGGGAGCATGAAGAAATTGACTAACCTGATTAACAGCATATGAGAGATCAGGTCGAGTAATAGTCAAGTATTGAAGTGCACCAACAAGAGAGCGATACATGGTAGGATCATGAAAATGAGCACCAGTAGTGGTAAAATAATCGGATGTGGAAAGAGGAGTGGCAACTGGTTTGGCGTCCAAAAGTTGTGCTTTTGCAAGTATGTCATGGGCATACTTAGCTTGACTTAGAAATAATCCAGTGTCAGAATATGAGACTTCTAGGCCAAGAAAATAATTTAATTTGCCCAAATCCGTAATAGAAAATTCTTTATGAAGACGAGAGATAAAGTCCTTAATAGCAGCCGGGTCATTACCAGTCAAAATGATGTCGTCAACATAAACAAGTAAATACAGAATGCAAGAACCGCGTTTGAAGATAAACAACGAAGTGTCAGCATGGCTGCAAACAAAACCAATAGTAACCAAAAAAGAGCTCAAGCGTTGAAACCATGCCCGCGGAGCTTGCTTTAAACCATATAAGGCCTTTTTTAAATAACAAACATGGGTAGGAAAACGAGTGTCAATGAAACCCGGAGGTTGCTCCATGAAAACTGTATCAGTAAGGTCACCATGCAGGAAGGCATTTTTGACATCTAATTGATGAAGAGGCCATTTGTGTAAAACCGCAAGTGAAAGAACAATGCGAACTGTTGAGGCCTTCACTACCAGACTAATGGTTGCAGAATAGTCCAAACCAGGTACCTGTGTAAACCCTTGGGGCGACCAAACGTGCTTTAAATTTATCAACCGTGCCATAAGCATGAAATTTCGTCCAAAATACCCATTTAGAACCCACAATATTAGAATTTTTTGGCCTAGGAACAAGTTCCCAAGTATCATTTTTCTGAAGAGCGGCCATCTCATTACACATGGCTGAGTACCAAGCCGGGTCCTTAGAGGCAGATATGAATCCTCTCGGTTCTTTAGTGGTAAATAAAGTATGATGAATAACTGAAGAGGATAAATGAGATAAATCAACCCGGTATTTTGGTTTAAAAATACCATGTCTGGAACGTGTCATCATTGGATGACCAGGTGGTTGTGGAGGAGCAGCTTGTTGCGGTGAATCAACGGGTGGAGGTGGTGGCTGATTGACGGGTGCGGGCTCATCATGGGCAGGTGTAGGCGGCGTTGGTATAGGATGCGCTAGTATAGTAGTCGCCTGTGTTGGGCAAAGAGTACATGGCGCCGAGTCGGTTGAAGATGACTGTGGAGCAGCAGGTGCCGAGATAGGTGATGAGGGAATCACCTCATGAATGGAAGGAGAACCATCATTATATGTAGAAAGGAGCAACTGAGCAGAGGGCGTTTGTGATGAAGATCCAGAGTATGGAAATAAATTTTCATCAAACTGAGCATGACATGTGGTATAAATCCGACCAGTAGAGGGGTCTAAACAACAATACCCTTTATATTGAGTATTGTAGCCAATAAATACACATGGTGAACTGCGAGGAGCAAGCTTATTTGAAGCATAATCCCGAAGATATGGATACACCCGACAGCCAAACACCCGAAAATTCCCATAATTTGGAGAGAGTTTGAGGAGAAGCTCGTATGGAGACTTGTTATCCAGAAGAGGTGTAGGCAACCGATTAATAATATATGCAGCAGAACTGAATGCATGTGGCCATAAGGTTGCGGGTGCGTTGGATTTAAACATCATTGCTAATCCAGTCTGGGTGATATGACGGTGCTTCCTTTCAGCACGAGCATTTTGTTGAGGCATATAAGGACATGATAGGCGGTGATGGGTGCCATTATTGAGAAATAATGTGCGTACACGTTCATTGACAAATTCAGTGCCACCATCGGATTGAAAAACCTTAAGCGTGCATGAGAATTGTGTTTGGACGAAAGTGACAAATGTAGTTAAAACATCATAGAAATCCGACTTCTTTTTCAAAGGATATAACCATGTGAATCTTGAGAAGTCGTCAATGAAGAGAACATAGTATCTATACCCATCAGTAGATATGACGGGAGATGGCCCCCATAAGTCACAATGAACCAAGTCCAAAACACATGCAGATCGTTCAGAATTGAGGGTAAAAGGCAATCTTTTACTCTTAGATAATTGACAAGAACTACAAACACTTGGCGATGGCAATACAGAAGTAAGAGACAAGCAACCAAGTTTATTTAATAACGAAATAATGTCAAAATTAACATGCCCTAAACGACTATGCCATAAATCATAAGATGCTCGTAGTCTTCTTGAAGTAAGATTTGCGAGAAAAGCATGCTTCCCTTGATCAAGTAAAAATAAACCATCCTTACGTCGCCCTCTTGCTAGAGTTTACTTTGAAAACCGATTCTGAATAAGAAAGGTTTTATCAGAAAACAAAACATCAACAGGATTGTCCTCGGTGAGCTTGCTAACCGAGAGCAAACTTTTAGTTAAATTAGGGACTACAAGAACATCGAGTAAATTGATTTGTGGAGCCATATGAGAAGTACCAATATGAGATATGTGAGATGTATGACCATTACCAAAAGCAACATGATCATTACCCGAGTATGTAGATGAAGAATCCAAATGAGATGAAGTGCGAGTCATATGAGCTGAGGCTCCAGAGTTAACAAACCAGTCAGGTGTGGAGTCTGAAAGGTTGCACTGGGCATGAAACGATTGAGCCAAATTCGCATCAAGGGCTGGAGATGGACGCGCAAAAGAATGAAGATCAGGACATTGGTTTGCATAATGGCCTTCTTTGCGACATAGCTGACAGTGCGGTGGCCGCCTACCACGACCCCGACCACAAGAGGAGGCTCCACGGATGGAAGATCGACCACGACCTCGATTAGAGGAAGTGGTGGTGTTGAATGCGACAGGGGGTGTACTCGAACCAGACAGTGAGGAGACAAACAATTCATGACTTTCAGCTTGTGATACAAGATCACGAAACGAAGGAGGAGGTTTAATGAGGCGTTGTGCAATGGAGAAGGTCTCAAATGTGGGACCAAGACCACGCAAAAACCAGTGGGTTTTATCAGTGACATCAAGAGGATGTCTAATGGAAGACAACTGATCACAGATTGCCTTATACTTTCTTGCATATTCGGTAACAGTAGAAGAACCCTTGGAGATGTGTCGAAGAGAATCCCTTAGAGTATGCAGACGATCAGTAGAGTCATTGTTGTAGATTGCTTCCAAAGCAGTCCAGACTTCGTGAGCAGTTTTTTGATCTAAGGTCTCGGCCATAGCCTCTTCAGAGAGAGAGGATTAGATGAGGATAAGTTCACGTTGATCAGAGGCTACCCAGGAAGTGTAGGCCGGATTTGGTGAAGGATCGCTTGAGCCAGCAATAGTGACAGTGGTAGAAGGGGCTGTAATGGAACCATCAACATATCCAAGAAGATTCTGGTAGGATAAGAGGGGAAGAATTTGCTTTTTCCAAAGGAGATAGTTGGTGGAGGATAGCTTAATGGTAAGCATATGAAGAAGAGTAGAGAGGGGAAGGGTGGCGTCGGCCATGGTGTGATCAAAGATGAAGAGGAAAACGATCAAGAGAAAGGCCGGCCAGGAAGAGTTTAGGCTGATACCATATTAGGGTTTGTGAATATTCACCGTACCTGGTGATATTGTATTGATCTTTATAAATAATACAAAGATTACAAGATAAGGAAATAACAAACTTTCCTACTAATATAAGCTATACAATATAAATGCTATACTTATCATGATTCTGTCGAATCATGTCTATTAACCACTACAACACCGTCAAACAATTAAGTACTTAACATTAGCTTGTTCCCATACCCAACCTGTGAATCAGGCTGCTGGCCTGATCAAAAGAAATCAACCTGCAATAGTGAAATACATGACCTGGTCTAGGCCTTAGGCCCTATTGATTTTGACTTTTGTGATGCAGGAGGATAGGATTGTTGTGTAATGTTGCATTTGTGTTTTATTATGTATAGCCTGTTGGAACTTTGT